AAGGTGGGCATTTGATCTAGAACTCGAAGAAAAGCAACAATGAGATAAAGAAAATCCGAGTCAACAATTAATAATGAAAATCCTTCGTTTCGGAATACAAATAATTTAGTAAGTATTTTCTTACTTCAAGTTTATTGTTACTTTACATTAATTTAATTGTCAACGATTATCTGGCTTAGAATGCAATGATAAAAATAACATTAAAATTCAGAAAAAATACGTAGTTATGAAAATCCATCCAACATGACCTTTGTGCCCGCAAAAAAATCAGTGTCAAAAGGACAGTTTTCCCATAACATCGCTATTATTTTAACTGCGTTCACCCCTTGGCAGTATTTTATAAAATAATGATTAGAATTATAATAAAACACAAAGTGAATTTATACGTTTTTTGTTCTTGAGAATTGATAACAAAATTATTAAACACTTTATTTATGAGATTGTTTATTTACAAGAATAATATTATGTTTTTACAACATTTTAAAAAGTAATAGAATTATTGTATGTTAATGCAATAATGAGCATTTACCAATTTATAAAGAAATAAATATGAAAATACTTTTTATTCATTAATTTAGAAATATTTACTACATTTTTAAAATATGTGAACAGACTATAAGGAAATCCTTATTATTTATTATTTCATAAAGTTTGAATCAATATTCAATTGGTAATTATTAGCCAATGTTATGCCAATCATTCCAATAAACAATCAATCAAATAAATGAGGTTTATTATTTTTGTTTTCAATTTTTAAGAACAAATATAATATATAAATTCACTTTCATATGTTTAGGTTTAATTACAATTTTAATCATCACTTTTTAAAAGAATAAACATTGCCGAAGGAGGAAGGCAGTTAAAATAAAAACGGTGTCGTAGGAGAAATCGTCCTTTTGACACAAATCTTTTTTTGCGTTTTTTTTTTTTTTTTTTTCTGAAAATCCTTCATGTCAGAATTCAAACAATTTAAGATGAGGTAAGTACTTTATTACTCTTCTTTCGCATTAATTTAATTGTAAACGGGTATTCAGCTTAGAATGTAATGATAAAAATAGTAATAACATTCAGATAAGACCACATAAAAATTATGACGAATCTTTAATGTCAGAACACAAGTAATTTAAACCTTCTTTGTAGCTTTTTTAGTAAAAAGCTACCTTTTTGTTCTTAATTCCTGATACTTTGACTGTCAAAGAGTTTTTGATTTAGAATGTTAAGTTAAATAAAGAAAACAAAGAAAGAAAGTTTAGGCAAAAATTAATAATGAAAATCTTTAATCTCAGAATTCAAATAATTTACGAGTCGGTTGTGAAAACAGACAATATGGTGTGAAAAATGAAAAGTAGACAGATGGCAATATGGCTGTAGAGTGGAAGCTCAATAAGCCAGAGACTTCAAGAGCTGGGCAAGGTGTCGTCAATAGAAGACAGGATCCTGAGACGCTATTTTTATAATTTTTTTTTTCCTTTTTTCTTTTTTCTTTTTTTTTTTATTCCGGTATTTTTGTTCAACCTTGAAATTTTGAATAAAAAAGCAGTAATAAGTTGAAGAAAAAATTAGTTAATAATGAAAATACTAGTTTGAATAATGATCCAATTTAGCTTTCATGCAAATATTCCTGATACCTACGGCGTACACACACCCCTCTCTCCCTCCCCCCCTCTCTCTCTCAGTCTTTCTCTCACACATACAAAAGTAGTTTGATGAAGGACGAAAGGTGTCACACGAAAAACCTTTCCCACTTTGTCAAAGTTTTTCCCTAAAATATATATATGTGTGTGTGTGTGTGTATGTGTGTGTGTGTGATTTGCACCAAAAATAGGCCAACCAGTGTATTTTGTGGAAGATAACGCTTTTAAGGTAAGCAGTCTTTATAATTAAAGTGCTTAATATCAAGACACCGCTCTTACTTTAACTACATTCACTTATCGGCAATGTTTATTCTTTTAGATAGCGATGATTAGAATTATAATAAAGCATAAACATATGATGAAGGCGAATTTATACATGTTTCATGTTCTTGAGAATTTGCAACAAAAATATCAAACACTATTTATTTATTAGATTGGTTAGTTACAAGAATAATTTTATATTTACAACATTCTAAAAACTGATACAATTGTATAAAAACTAATTCAAAGCAATATTTAGCATTTACCAATTTATAAAGAATTTTTTAATCATTTCACCCCCAAAACAAGGCAATAAAGCCACTAAAACTCAAGGAGTTACTGAGTGTTAGAGAATATGAGAAAAAAACCTATTAAGGAGAAAGAACAAGAATTAAGAAGACAATAAATAACGTTTGACATTGCATTTAAATTGGTGAAAATCAGAAGAGAATTTCACAAGCGACAATTGCGATAGGAAGCTGTTAGCAGATAATTAGGGTTATATCTAGCCATTTCAACTGTAAAAAGATGAGACCTTACGCCAATCTAGTACTACGCGCAAATTCATGTCTAGGTATCATAGAAGAAAGTAATATTTATTTTGAATAATTCAAAAATCTGGCACAATGCCAAAAGGGGGATAGGAGAAGGCTGGTCTTCAATCTGTTTTATCTTAAACTTAACTAGCTACAATTACTGACCCAAATATACCAAGTATTCCTTACACCAAAACAACACATTCTTACTTACTATTCTTACTACAGCCACCATAATACCTCAAAGTCTCTATGTTCCCATATGAACAATTTGTCATAGAAGAGAGTTCACCAGAACAATTACAATGAAATTATTTATAGAAAAAACACAGGGATGCTACATTACGGCAGTGAGAATATGACTGAAGGCTAGAGCCCAGGTCAGAACCAATAATTACATATTCTTTTTAGGAATTTATTAAAAATTTCTAAATATAGGCATTAGACTAGATGTGGCAGCAGAATTCAAATCAAAGACGAATGGTAGACGTATAAATGTGTAAGATATATTCTGACGAGAAAAATTGTCTAACACAACACAGTGAAACAACTTTCCTAATAACAGACCTAACAATTGATTCGGTATAATCTTTTTCCCTTCATATCAGCGGAAAAAGTTCGACCGAGAAGGCGCAATAAACCACTTTTCTTGGAGGTTAGCATCAGCCATGCTGATGGAACTTAAAAAGGGTTCTATCAAACGATTAAAAGAGAGCAGTTTCGTTTTGGAGGCGTTAAAATTAAGATGCCATTCCTTGCTCCAGTTAACAACAAATCAGATTGTTTTTTTTTTAATCAGCTGCCAATTTGACATTATAAAATTGTTCAGACTTATTATTAAGAATAAATGATTGTGTCATCATAGATACCGAATTGAGAACTGATGCCATCAAGAAGAAAATTAGGAACAACGTTGGCCCAAGAATAGGATCCTGGGGGGGGGGGCACCTGCATTAATGAAAAAACGATCTAGAAGAGTTGCCATTCAGGACAACTTTCATTTCGCGAGTTGATAAGAAAGACCGAATCAGTTCAAAAGTTCGTCCAGAAATATCATAACCTTTCAACTTGTAAGGAAGACCAATATGTTAAATGCCTTCGAGATGTGTCCAAAGCAACAGCCCGAGCTTCACCAATCTTATCAGGCGGTAAACTTTTTCAGCAATAACTATAAACACTCCAACATTTGACCTAGATAAGCAAAAGCCATATTACTTATCTGAAAGAAAACTTTGCGAGGTGAGATTCATAACCAATTCAGACTTGATTAGGTCAATTTGCTTAAATCTTTGAAGAGAGTTCCACAAGCGAGAAGTACGATCGAAGAAACTGTTAACATAGAAGTTACTGTTACATTTAGCTGTAAAAAATGAGACATCGCTGTCAATAGTACTGCACATAAGAAAATGTATAAATTCACTTTCATCATGTTTAGGTTTTATTAAGATTTTATTAACATCGCTTTTTAAAACAATACACATTACCGAGGTGTGAAGGTAGTTAAAATAATAACGGTGTCAAGGGAAAAACCGTCTTTTTGGCACATTTTTGTTGTATTTTTTATTTATTTATTCATTTTGCGGACACGAAGTTTGCCGATTTTTCTTCAGTAGTTTTTGTATAACAATGAACTGAAAAGAGGAATTTTGTTGTATACCGACGTATTTAGAGTCGACTGTATTGTAATAACACCAAAGCTGAATTATATGTTAATGCCGTTATGAAATAGCGTTTTACGACCGCATATTTTCTATACAAAGTGTAATTCTAAATTAAAAAGCTGATTTTATCACAAGCATTTGAAAAATAATATTTGATAAATAAAAATAAATAATTTTTTTTTTTCGATTTTGCATAGGATTTACATGAGATTTTCCCGATATAAATTTTCAAACGAAAGCGACTGACACAAGGCACATACATTCAAATCTTAAAAACGATTACTTGGTTACTTATTGTAGTGCATCATTTACTTATAATTATTGCCACGTGACGCAGACAATAATCAGTGCATTATTTAAACAAATTAGCCGAAAATAATCAACAGTGCCTTTTTATAGCCCTCCGTCACTTATTATCAACTAAGATTGTTTTTACATTTATATAAGTAACAAATTAATCATTCTAAGTAACGCGGTTAATCAAAATAAGTGCTGCGTAATTTTTTGCACTGACAAAATTTAGTTTTACATAAAATCCGTTTTGATCATGTAACTTTCTCCGAACAAAACAGAGAAGTAAAACTTGAAAAAAATGTTTTAAAAAAAACTAAACGTTAAAATCGACTGTAATGGTTTGCAGGTAACAATTAATTTAAAATTGCTGTTCATGGCATGATTTTAACAAATGAAGTCTGTCGCAAATGAAAATCACGAACATATGATATATACATATATATAAATATTTTTTGCAGTATATGTTTTGCGTTTGTATAATGTAAAATGGATATCTAATTTCCTGCCTGCTCGAGACACTTGGTTAGAATTCTCATTTATTTATAAGAAAAATTCGTAAGTCGAAGGCAAGGTTCGATCTGTGATGTCGATGTTTCTTTAATTATCAGCTGCTATCAGCATCTTGGCTTCAGGATGAGAGGCGTCGGTGTTTGTGGCTCCCCAATATTGTTGAACGGGGGTGGTGTCTTAACTTGCTGTTGTCGTAAACTCGGACAGGTAATTTTGTAAAACTGAAAAGCAAATAAATAATTCAGTTATGACAAATCAACAGAACTAAGTTGGTTAGACAAAATTCTTCAACTTTAGAATCAAAATATCTTTACAGAAATTTAATGAGAGAAAAATTTCAGATTAAATAATTGTAAAATTCTTTTAAAAAGAATCGCCCATATTACAAGAATCCATGTCATTTAAAAAAAGTAACTTTTGAAAAGAATGTTCTTGTAGCAACTGCAATTGCCAGTTGTAATAGACAGAGGTTGATCCTTTTCAAAATAAATGACTTCAATACGTGAGGTGGGGGTTATATTTACGGGTTGCAATGGGTAAATTGTCATCGTTTTATATTTTTAATTTTGCGCATGCGCGTTGTTTGTTTTTGATTTTGTCGACGGCACAGTAAGCTAGGTATAGAATAGTTAGTTAAGACCAGCCTCAACTCCACCCACTTTTTCGGCCTCGTGCCACAATTGTATTTTTAAATACAATAAATATTCAGTATTGTAGGGTCAGTTGGGCACTGTCTATGAGAAAAAGAGCATCATAACGCAATTCACTCCAACAGAAATTTGGAAACGGCATGATATACTGCTTGCTCCAATACGAACATTTCATAGTGAGGACAGTGCAGAGGATTCGGAAAGAGTTGGATGAGTGTAATGGTGATTACGAAGGTACGGCAGCTCAGAAAACTCACTCTGATCGTTCTGATAAGAAAAGAACACCCGAATTTGTTGGTGAGGACCTCAGTCTCAATACGAAGGCCTACGTCAAGTGCTTTGAGGAGCTAGTGCTGCCCTGGGTTAAGAGCTAAACCAAATAAGTTTTGTAGATATCTGCGTGATCTTTCTTTAGATTTTTAAGTCTAAATGACGGAAGTCGACAGTCTAAATGGCGTAAAGGGGACTGACGTAGACAGATGACAATATGGCGTAAAGGGGACTAAAGTAGACAGGTAGCAATACTACGTAATGGTCAGGATTCCTGAGGAAAAGAAAGTGGATTAAATTAAAAAAAAAAAAAAAAAAAAAAAAAAACGACTTACCACAGCACTGGCTACCATCACACCAATAGCTCCACCGACGATGACATCTTGGAGGTGATGCTTGTGGTCTGAGACACGAGTCATACCAGCCCATGCTGACACTATTAATAAAGCCATTTGCATTGAAGGCTTCAAGAAGCGGCTTATTTTGATATCAAATCGGAGTTCTAGATAAAGCTGTCGGAGATCAAAGACAAAAAGAAAATAGTTTTGATAAAATTTATTTTGGAAAACAATATTTGTAATCATTCACCACGACATTCGACACATTGGCACATATACACACAAGTACACAAACACAAACGCATACACAGTAATAGACACAGACAGTGAAAAAATATCAACCTCACACCAACAACTAGCGCAGAAATTAAATTTTTAACTTAATATAGAAATAACGAAAATGAGAAAATTTGCAGTCAATTGTGGAAACCTCTGAACGATTCCAAAAAAATCTTGTCTATGAAACCCTAGAGTCGGGGTACTGAATATAACATCAATCAGATAAGTGGCAAATTATATTTGTATCAATCTCGTATATATATATATATATATATATATATATATATATATATATATATATATATATATGTGTGTGTTCAGCAGTCTCTTTATACAGGTATCAGTGATGACAACAGACACTGCATAAGCTATTTTTTATTATATTTTTCTTGTATGCCTACAAAGATTTCTTTTTGGGGTGTGGTAATAAAAACGAAAAGAACAGAAAATAAAAAATATAATAAAAAGCTTAATATATATATATATATATATATATATATATATATATATATATAGTAGTCGGCTCTCCCGTCGAATTCGACGTATGAGGGTCAAGCAGATCAGTTTCAAGGAAACCGACAGCCCGACACCGGCACATGAGATTTGATTATAGTGGTGAAGGTTTCGTGCAGGACCATCCACACTTTTGAAGGGCCGAATTCAGAGACCTGGTGCACTAAGTGCCACAAGGTCCCCAAACGACCCTCCGCAGGTTTTGAATTCAGAGTTGTCCTTCTTTTAGACCAGTTGCCATCCAAGGCTATATAATCCAGGCACGGTGGAGTAATGGATAGCGGCTTGGATTGAGGGATATATATATATTCACTTTTGTATCCAAACGGAAACAAAGTAATTTTCTTAGGTGATGGATTTTTACTTATCAATTCGACAGAATTTTATCACTGATGAATATTTGAGAAATTTTATTAAAGAAAATTATACGCCTAATTTCCTTTAATTCCTCAAATATTCAGACCGGTAAACAAAAATACATTATTTTTTAGTGGATACTCATAGAGTTGAATAGAATTTCCATTTATTTATTAAACAGTATATATATATTTATTATATATATATATATATATATATATATATATATATATATATATATATATATATATATATATATATATATATATATAATATTTCAAATCGATTCGCTGCATAAGAGTTTTCAAAAACAGAAGCTCAAAACTTCAATTTAATTATAGAAATTAAATTATTATTTAGGCTCTACTTGTGTATTGAACACTGTTTTTTAAAAATAAAAACAAAAATACTAAAGGTTTCGGATTATTAACTTAACGGTTCTTTTCTATTTTTCTATATATTTGGACACACACACACACACACACACACACACATATATATATATATATACGAATGTTGCGAAATGAAATAGGCGATCAGGGTTCAAATTCTGTCTCAGTTTATTATGTCCTGTTTTACGCTAATGGCAAACCCATGAATCCATTAATTTCCCCATGATTTCGAATACTGAGTTTCAAGTCGAACAGAACTTTTTTACTTGAAAGAGTGGCTCTACACAAGCTTTCTTTGTTTTTGTAATCCTGTTTCAAACGAAACCACGTTTTGTTAATTCCAATACACTCATTCTCACATAGATTTCATAATCTTCACTTCTTACCACATCCTTTTTCAGTCATATCACACATCATTCAACATAACCATTTTAACAGTAACTTCTATCTTGAGTGGCTCTTCTGCCTTGCATTTAGTGTACTATTAAACACATGTATAAATCTTTATATTAAAGGGGATATATTTTGAAGGAAAAGCTATAATGTTACTTACCACGGTGTAGAGGGCCGAAAACATACAAATGGCTGCATGTCCTGATGGAAAAGACCTCATTGTGTCGATTATATCATTCTCCGACATCGCTTTGTTTGTGCATTCATAGTCTGTCACATACCTGGCGAGAAGAAAAGAAAAAGAATACACAGTGATTAAATTGTACTGATGAATTCAATGGCATTCTATAGTAACAGAATGAAATGAGGAGTCCAGATATAGGACTATTCACTAAACATTACTCTGGCGCAGGTTCTCTCTGACCATTTTCAGGTGTTCATTATTTTGATTATTTTTCCCATAATAGATACCTGCTGATGACCAGCAGGTGCATGGTCGAAACGTCGTGTCTAAAATATGATCAATAATAGTGAAGTACTTTTGTTAAGTTTTTTTAATTATTTTTTGTACGTATACAAGTGATCATTATTCTTTATTATTTTTCCATATCAGCCAAAATAATAGATACCTAATGATGAGTAAAGGGTACTTGGTCGAAACGTCGTGTCTATAATATGATCAATCATAATCAAGTATTTTTGTTAATTTTCCTATTATATTTTTGTATGCGTGCAAGTGATCATTATTTTGATTATTTTCCATATCAATCAAAATAGTAGATACCTGATGATGACCAGAGGGTGTTTGGTTGAAACGTCGTGTTTACAATATTATCAATAATAATCAATTACTTTATTTTGTTATATTTTTCTTGCATGCTTACAAGTGTCCATTATTTCTGGAGTGTTAAAATTCTTCAAATATTTTGTTGATTCCGAGCGCTTTCAGGTAAACTATTAGTCATTTTCAAGGAATTTAGTTATAAATTTTAATTGTAATCAGCAACACAATGGAGCCAATAAACATTTTGCTAATTTCTACACCGATTAAAACAAGAAAAAACAAACACTTGTACAGACATAGTAATTATACTCACCCATCACAACTGGTGAAGTTGGGTCGACATACGTCGAGAAAATTGGGTCTAAGTTCACGTACAAAGTATTTGGGAATATCAACAAAGAACTGGTTCAGCGTGATTCCGAAAAGAAAAATCGTGTAGGCTCGGATGGTAGTTGAGTATTGTGTCCCATTGCCGATTGTTTTGTCTAAGAACTGCCAATTGATCCATTCTGTCGCCGTGATCTACAATATAAACAAACCATAGACATTGGTTACACGTCTGATGTCTAATCTTAAAGAATGCTATAATTGATTTAAGAGATAAACATATTGTCTGTTCCATAAATAAAATAAACACTAAATAATAATTTAATATGTTTCTAACAGTTGATTGTATTAGAGAGATAAAAGATATGCATAATTAGCGGTCAGAGGTGTATTGTTGAATTGTTAGTAAATTCTGGTCCAGCAAGACTGATAATACGAGACCGTTCTTGAACAAAGGATACCAGAAAATAGTATATATATATATATATATATATATATATATATATATATATATATATATATATATATAAAAGATTAAGGCCTAATAGTCTTTCGGGGCACGGAGCCCTCCCCAGTGGGATATCCATTCATTGTGACTGGAGGAAGTTTGGGGTCCGATCGCCGATGATGGTTTGGTTTTCGAGACAATGAATGTAACCAGCCAATTTCCCCCCGACTGAGATGTTAGAGCTAGATCGGAGAGGAGATCAGCTGCTGATCTCTGGTCATAACGAGTTTTGGAGGTTCACTCATATATCGTCGTATCATCGACATGAGAGAGAGAGAGAGAGAGAGAGGGAGGGGGAGGATTAATACAAATAAAATCAATCATTTAGCTTATTGATGTTATATTCAGCAACTCGACTCTAGAGTTTCGTGGACGAACTTTTTTGAAATCGCTCAGTCCTCTCGTCAGGAGGTTTCAGCAATTGACTGCAGATTTTGTCATTATGGTTATTTTTACACTAATTTTAAAATTAATTTATTTTTAACACACACACACACATATATATATATATTAAGAAATGGACAAATTCCGACAATTTATTTATTAAAAACATTTTTATGTTTAACGTTCTTTTTATAGATACAAGTATTTAAGTAAATGCTCTGTTTATAATAAACAGTATTAAATAACATTTACCGGCCTGAATGTCCGAGAAATTTTCATAGAAAATATTCGTCCTTTGACAGGATTCGAACCTGCATCCTATACGGAACCGTCATTTACGCTGACGTGCCTAACCTCTCGGCCACAAAGGATCGTTCGGTCCTGATTATTCTTTTCTCTTTCCATTTATTATTAACGTTTCTGTTTCTAATTCTTTCCACACCCTGTGATCCCTTGTGCTTTAGTGGTTTGACTGCCTTGCAAGGTGGGGATACCGATTAAAAAAACAAAACAAAAAACAACTTCACGCTATTGTTTCATCCTTCCTTTTCATTTTACGCTATGGAAAAATGAGTCCGAATAGATACAAGACACACCTTTTGGAAATTTGTATTTTGTATAGTGGTTACAGAAGCGGACAAACAGTTAAGAGGTTGAAAGTCTTTTTTTTTTTTTTACAAAAGCCGGATTCGTAAAAGAAAAAGAAAATCCATTACCACAAAACTATCTTGGGAAGGACAAATTACTTCCACGCCGAACAAAGAGCCATTCTTAGAAGCCGTCACTCTAGCACTCGTAAAAGTCAGTGTGTTAAGATCTCGAAGAAAGCACACTGATATGAAGTGTCTTCTGATGTATCTTGGTGGTAAGAGAGGCGGCTTCTTGGATCTCAAGTACAATTTTAAGATCCGAAAGTAGCTTATATTCATATCTGCAGTCACGCATTATTTAACTGTTCTTACGATTCAGGAAAGACTACCATCCCTGTAAGTTTGTTAGTCTGATGCACAAATCAAACTGCGAGGTTGGTGATATTAATTATCAAAAAGCCAAATCGGATATTAAATTTAATTCTAAAGAGGTAGAGGACAGATTTACTTTGAGATTCACTTATATTTTTTATATTAATTTAAAATGTATTTCTGTAATAAAATTATTTGCAGTGAATTTATAGAGTACATCATTAATAGCAAATACATATAATAAAACCATTAACAAAGATTTTTCTGTAGTAAAATCATTAGTAAGTATTTTCTATGATAAATCAATAGCAATGGTTATCTATAAACCATTATTAATGATTTCTATGATAAAATCATTACTTATGTTTCTATAGTAAAAACATTAGTAACGCTTTTCTGTATTAAAATGATTTGCAGTAATTATCGATAGTAAATCATTTTCTTTAATAAAAATAGTAAGTATTTTCTATGTTCAATCAATAATAATAGTCATCTATAGTAAAATCATTAGCAATGATTTCTATAGTAAATCATTAATAATGAATTCTATGATAAAATCAGTAGTAATGTTTTCCTATGGCAAAAACATTAGTAATGTTTCCCTATTCACAGCACTTGCTGCAGAGGACTCGTACAAGCCCTAGCAGCTTATCACCAAGATTTCTCGTTCCTCGAGGGAATAAGCGAAGAAATCTCTTTCTATTAAGCATCTACTCAAGGGAAGAACTTTGTTCTCTGGTAAAACCCAATTTTTTCCCGCCAAATACTGGTATTTAGCTCTCTTATTCAACCACAAATGAAAGCTGTTAAGCAGTTATTTTGAGCCTTGAATTTGTTCATTCCATTCTATACAATACCGAGCACACACACGCACACACATGCACACACACACAACCGGGAAAATTCTTACAATTAGATTTTCTCACCTATTTTCTCAAGGATTACACCCCTGAAGAAGAGATCGACCGAGATGTGTTAACAACGCCGAGAAGAAAAAGGAGATAAATTGTCCGAACAAAGCTTGGGTTATTTTTTAACTTTACTCAAAGCGACATACACTCAATTGCAAGATTTTTCGATATCAGCTAAGGTTATTTTGGTACGGCGTGAAGGGATCAACGACTGCGTAGTAAGCGCCTAGATGCTTTGAAAATCGTTGCGTGTCTCTCTTTCGGACTGCTAATATAAGTGTTTAATTGCCTGACTAAAATATTGTAATTCTTTTGAAATGATAGACAAAGCACTTTACTGACAGCTTATTTTATGTTTACAGGGTGATTGAAAAGTAACTCCCCATTTTATGTCTACAGGATGATTGAAAAATAATTCCCATTTTATGTCTACAGGGTGATTGAAAAATAACTCCCAATTTTATGTCTGAATAGCCAGCCAGGAGTCCTAACTTAACACTCTGTGACTTTTTAATTTGAGGTTGGTTAAAGGAGTAAGTACTATACCAAGACTTTGGAATAACTTGAAGGGCGAATACAAGACGTTATGTCTTCCATACCACAAGAATTCCTGGTGAAATCAGTTGACACGATTCCTGAACGGTAGTTGGTAGCGAAATCTGGTGCCCATTTCTAATTTTGAATAAAACCTCAAGCTAAACGCTTTCCTCTCATATCCATTTCTTTAAAAATTATAGTTAATAAATAAATTATAAGTATTTTAAAATGGGGAGTTACTTTTCAATCATCCTGTATATTCGTAAATACTAGACAGAACTCTGGCAGTTCAATCCCATAGCAGTGAGAGAGGCAGGGTTAGGAGAATGTTTAATTCCTGTTTGAAACCAATTAAATTTCTGGAGGATTCGACTCATGCATTTGAGTTCTAAATATCTCACATTTGTCGTTCCTTCATTTTTTTTTTTTTGGTAAATTCCTGCTTCATGTTTCGTTTTGAATCGATCCTCTTCAGGTTGACTGTTGGACTCAAAAGTCTCGTCCCCCCCACCCCTTCGGATGATCCTACGCCAGGAAGGCCGATTTGCAACAACGGTTTCCCATGTCTCAGGGTCGATGTTGGCCCGTGTCAGGGATATTTTCAACTGATCCTTGAAGCGTCGTTTTGGGCCTCCGCGTAACCTCTTGCTACTGGTGAGTTCTCCAAACAGGATCATACGGGGGAGTCGAGTGGGACGCATTCTGTCATATAGAAAACTGTATATTGTATAGCAGTTCAGCACTATTTTCCTAGTTTCTAATGATATTTTCTTATCTCTTAATTCAATACTTAGTTTCTAGAACACATCTTTCGCTATTTTTCTGCGCCCCCAGATTTTAGCTGCCTCTTTCTAATTGCTAACATCACTTTCCTTGTAGTTCCTGGGCGTACGATCACATCACGTTGAAACATCGGTTCCCGTACAATCACCCAAGTTAAGCAACGCCGATCCTGGTCAGAACGTAGATGGATGGCCGCTTGGGACTGACAGTTGCTGTAAGCTTAGATATGCAGGAGGTATAATGGATAACTGATCGGAATTGGAAATCGGGGGACAGAATTTCAATTCCAGTCAGGTTCATTATATTCACTTGCAAATATCCTCAGCTATGTGTTAATTAGTAGGACTTGTATCAATAAAAATTATTATCTCCAAAAGGATTCTTACAATCTAAAAATATCTTCTGGCTTTAAATAACCTGCAATGGGTTTGATAAACCGTAAAAAATCATAATAATTAGCATCACTTTACTTATAGATCATATTTTCATTAAAACATCCTCTCTGTTCATATGTTATGTCTAAGGTATTCTCAGCATTTGTCAAGAGAACTGCATCTCTATCGTTTTAAATCTTCATCTGTTAAGCGACCATCCGGAATGCAATACCATATTGGAGGTTATATCTTCCGAATTAATTAATTAAGTATTCTTTTCTTTGTTTCTAACAATATTTTCCTGTCTTGATACTTTGCTTAGTTTCTGGGAGACATCTTTGGTTATTCTTGTATGCCTTCGGATTTCTGTGTCACATTTTCCGTCGTTAGTTACTATACTGCTTGGTTTTGATGTCCACAATACGTAGCGAACAACTTGAACAGTATATTTTGTTGACAATCACGTATTCTACTTTCTTAGAGTTAATAATTAGTCCTTTCTTCTTGCTTTCCTTTACTACCTTGGCTTTTATTGTGTTCAAACGCCTGGAGCTTATGAGAAATACGTAACAGCATGTTTCTAAATTTTGCAGCAAATCACCAACTGTTGGTTATAGAGATGTCATTCAAGAACTCGATCATTTTACTAAATAGCCTCGTCGGATTGTGTCTTTCATATGGATGTCATGGATGGCGCCAAACTCGTCCAAAAATATATAAACTGCTAGCTTTATACAAATGCTTTCTTATATCAATGATTAAAAATGGCGTCGAGCAAGTGAACTCTGTGGATCTTAGCGCGGACCATCCTTTTTCAAAGCCCGTGAACTAGCCATGCAGAATGAAAAACAAAGAACTGAGTGAAATAACAGAAACCTATATCGCTTGAGGACTTTCAACATCATGAAGCAACTAAAATGGATATAACTTGAAGAGAAAATAATGAAATAATCAAGATGTTGATGTTCCGCACAATAAAAGGTTAGAAAATGAATAATTGATTTGTTTTTACGACTTATCAACAATTTATGAGTTATTTAAAACCGATAAATATTTTGAATTGAAAGAATAATTCCTTTTTTTTGTTACGTTAATAATTTCTTTGAGAATAAAAATAATTTTTCCAGATACAAGTCCGACTATTTAGCCATGAGCTGGGGGAGGAGGTGGATTCATACCATTTGTTAATTTGCGCGTAAATAAATGTAATGAACCCGACTAGAATTTGAACTCGGCTCTCCTATTTATCATTCCAATCCATTAGACCATCCGCACATCACAAAAGGTTAAGAAAGAAGCCTCCATAGATACCAGAAAGAGCGATAATAGTGAACTTGAAAAAACTATTTTCCTGAAAAATTGTTTTAATAGAAATATTTTATAAGTTTCTACCGACAGTTGCACTGGTCAATGAATGCCGAATGTTTCCTTATAAGCAAACGGCTAATATTATCATTACCATTAGACATGAAAACAGACACTACATTTTGATCGCAGCCTGATGGACATGGAGTGAAGTGTAACTCTAGTTGCATTGGTTTCTCAGTCAATGAATACTGAATGTTTCCTTATAAGTAAACAGCTAATACTATCATTGTCTTTAGAGATAAGGAGAACAGATACTACGCTTTGATCCCAGCCTAATGGCTACGGAGTTAAGAAAAATGTAACTTGAGTAACATTGGCTGCTTGGTCAATAAATGCCGGTTGTTTCCTTATAAGAAAACAGCTAATATTACCATTACAATTCTGAAGTTCACTGGGAAATTTTGTTATGAACATTTCGTTGAGAAATTGCATAAAATAGCTCTTTTAAAAAAGTAGTTCTGAAGTTAGCAAAATTAACCAACGAAAACTTCTAGATGCACTGAGATGCTAATACTATTGCGCGCGTCCTTTATTGACTTCAAGCGAAAACATGCCAATAATCACGCACATATGTTTTGTTGTTTATGTGACTTCAATCTCGCTTGCACAGCTTGGGAATCTACCGATAAAACCCTTCAATCTCTGCGTGTCGTTTGGCTGCGTCCGTAACGATGTGACGCTTGTAAAGTTGAAGTCTGACCGATCCTCTATAATATTTTTTGATGCTGATTTATTTGTATCAGACGGAAACAGCTACTCACCAGGACGAGGGGAGTCAAACAGGTGGTCAAGTACATATAAATTGGCGGAATCGTGTCTTCTCGATAGGGATAACTCAATGATTTATCATCACAAAAGAAACCTTTGTTCGTCGGTCGTATGAAGTAGTACATTAGTCCAATTGGTGTGGCCACTGAAATATAAACAACAATGAAACTTTATATTAATTAGCATTATTAATTAACCATTAATTATTAATTAACTATTAATTATTATATAAATTTGATTTATGAAACAGAATTTGATTTAAGATTGACAAAATATTTTATACGAAATGTTGGCTATTTACACTATTTACATTGTTCGGACTGTTGTCCTTATCTTTAGTGTCATATTCACGACGTTTCGACCGATACATGCTCCGGCCTTTCTCGTGTACATATGTTGTAATTTATTTAGTCCACTGAGGTAGATTGTTCTAGTTCCACGTGCCATGCCTTTTTTATTTGGATATCTCAGTTATTTCCCTTTAGTAACTCAACTCTCTAAGTTTTTGTTCACCTCTGATGTGGCCAGATATTGAACTCACAACCACTTTCGAAGGTCGTCCTGATGTTATATGGACCACAGGTCTTTTGTATTTTTTCCGATAGTCATTTCACATAGGGTAGGCAGACCGAGGCTCTGAGTGTTGTTATCCTATTGTACCCTTCTATCCCAGTTTGTATGTGCTCTTGCCATATATCCTGGATAGTTGTTACGTTGTAGGGAACTGCTTATGACTCTTGCTCGATGTTGTAGGGAGCAGGCGATCTCTTTCTTTACACTGTATGGGTGACGGGAGCTGAGGTATTGTCCGGTGAATGTTGGCTTGCGGTTCGGAATGCTATTTTGTTGTTGTTTTCTCTCTCCATAGTGAACTCTATCGATAGTCTTATAGAGTTCACATGGTCAAGTAGTAGCAATGTAAATAGTGTAAATAGTTACAATACCTCATATCAGAAATATAGACAGATGAAGAAATGTTGAGTTTATCAAAGTCAATACATTAATATCATTACCACGAAGATAGATATTAAAAACTTTTAGATTAACTATTAATCTAGGAGATTATACATACATACATACATAATAGATGACCATTCGTATTCGAGGTTACCCGTCTACTAGGGTGGCTAGCCAATCCCCATCGCAGACGCTCGCTCAGGCACATTTGTGTTTGATCAACACTACAGAGCCCACCTGTGGTTTATACTGCAACTATGCTGAGCAGAACTTAGTTACAGTTTCTGGAAGAGAGCGTGTTATCAAGCGTGATCAACAATTTGAACAAGGCCAGCACGCTCAAAGATTGTGGCTTTGTGCTAGGGGTTTCGTCTACCTAATTTCACTCACAAGGTATGATTTTAGGCACTTTCGAAAGGTACCACACGCTGTGTTCCGCCTTCCTGACAAATCGACCATGGTGAGATTCGAACCCGAGTCTCATGGCCAGAAAGCGAACGTTCTAACTTTTCGGCCACGCGCCCATACATACATACATACATACATACATACATACATACATACATACATACATACATGACGGAAGTCATCTCGTGACCGAGTAAGACCATCTCTGGCACTTGATTAATTTTTCACGCATTTTAACTATCATCATTTCGTCGCTGATGACGTGTCAAATGGCTTTTAAGAACTGCAAGAGTCTTGCAGTTCTTCCCACATTGTTTACATGTCAGTCTTCCTGCTGCAACTCGCCTTTGTGGGTGCTGGCTACGGAAATATCGTGTGAGTTCGTTTGCAAGTTCTTCTCAGATGTCTATATCTATATGTGTCTTTGAGTGTGTCTTTCAGAATGTCTTTATAGCGTTTTTGAGACATACACTGCGATCGTTTTTCTTGTGATACCTCCCTATACATAACCTGTTTAGGCATGAGTGAGACTTCTAGGCGGACAAGGTAAATAAACCATTCAAGTTGGTGTTTCATAAAGATGGACTCAGTACTTACCGATCTTGCCAACTTCGGCTCTCTTGTGGCACTTAGAATATTAGGCAGATAACGTTGATAAAAGCACTCAAGACGCTAAATATGCCTGCGGTCAGTTGTCCATGTTTCACAGACTTATAGCATGGTTGTTAACGCACACGCATAATACACCTCGACTTTTCATCAGATGATGATCTTCAAATCTTGTTAACAACACAGCCATTGTTGGCAGGCCAATGAGGCAAGTTGGCATGAAATACATACATACACACACACACACATATATATATATATTTAATGTTGATTGCTTATTAAATAGGGGCACCCACGATTTGCGAAGAACGATCAGGACTCCTAGCTGCACGCAAGTCATAAGGAACTTCTCTAATCAACAAATATATATATATATATATATATATATATATATATATATATATATATATAAAAGGGGGTTCAATAACCAAGACTGGTTTTAATGTAAATTAAATTTAAGCGTCTAATGACTTTTTTTTATCAAATTTGGCGGATTTTGGGTGATATTATTTTTCAAGCATAACTGCCATGACTTAAATAACATGATTCAATAGAGAAATAAATAAATTTTTACCAATAAAACTGATTTATTTACTGCTGACTTTCATCGTCCTTCATGAATCACCCTTATATATAATCCGTCTTAATGAAACACCCTTTAGGTTGTGGGGAAAAACAAATATTTATACACATACAAATTTTTAATTTATTGTATTTCCAACTAATAAATAAACATACTTTTCATGTAATTAACTGTACACAGATGGATAATGACTAAATATTCATAGAAAACAGAAAAATATTGATTTAACAGTAATAATTTCCATTTATCCATTTTAATGGATGAAAAAATTATTCGTACAATGCAAATTTAAGATTTTAAAACTTTTTAATTGCTTTAATACTCTACATTATTCAAGTCGAATATTCTAGAATGTTTCAGTAATGTTATCAGCAGTTATTTGTAGCCTAAAAATACAAACAGAACATTCTATAATTGATATTCATGCAAGAAGGTTATCCTCATGACAAGAAGTAAAGAATTGACAAATTCGCAAAAAGAACTGATTGTTAAGCTCTGGAAAGAAGATAAAGTTACAGGAAAATCTCAGACAAACTGAATATTCTATTTACTACAATTAGCTCATTCATTGCAAGGTATAAAAATCTCAGAACTTAAAAAACAAAGAATAGGTGCTCCACGGAAGATTTTTTCAAGATCTTCGAGGAAATTAATGTGTCAAATTGAACAAAATCTAATGATTATTCATCAAGAGCTGCAGGATGATTTACTTTCATCAGAAATCTGTGTCACTAAACGGACAATAAGCAATGAAATTCATAGGAACAATATAAAGTAACGCTCCCCTCGGGAAACTCCAATGCTATTGAAATGACACAAAGATGCCAGATTGAAATTCGTTCATGAACATAAGGATAAAGAAAAAACGTATTGGATAAAAGTATTATGGACATACGAAAACAGTACTGAGTTGTTTGAACGTAATTCTAGTAATCATGTATGCAGGAAAGATGGTGATGCCTTCAAAAAGAACACAGTTCCAACGGTGAAATTTGGTGGTGGCAGCATCATGGTTTGGGGATGTTTTTTCTGGAAACGGTAATTGCAACATAACAGTAACATATAGGAGAATGAATGCTGCAGCACATCAAAATATTTTTGAAGCAAATTTAATGATTTCGGTTGAAAATCTTGAACTTCCTCCTGATTGGATCTTCCAACAAAAAAATGATCCCAAGTACACTGCAAAATCTGCGATGAAATGGCTTGCTGAAAATAATGTAAATATCCTGAAATGGCCAGTCCCTAGATTTAAACCCAATCCAGAATTTGTGATGTTATTTGAAAATTCAAATCTAATTGAGAGCTCCAGAAAACATCCCGGATCTGATGGCCATATGCGAAGAAGAATGGAACAAAAATACCAACTAAAATTTGCAAATCATTGATTACTACAAGAAGAGGTTGGTTGCTGTAGAAGTAAATAATGGCTATTCTACAAAATATTAAATGAAAGTTTTCTTGTTTTTGCCGACTGGAGTTGTGTATTTCTTTATGATGTTTTTAAGTGAAGAAACTTATTCATTCACTTATTTATTTCCTTCACTTTTAAGTGAATGAAAATTATCTATTCTTTTTTGTATTGTATGAATATTTTTTCACCCATTAAAATGGATAAATGGGATTTATTTCTGTTAAATCAATTTTTTTCTGTGCAAATTTAGTCATAATACATCTGTGTACAGTTAATTATATGAAAAGTATGTTTATTCATTAGTTGGAAATACAATGAAGTAAAAATTTGTATGTGTACGAATATTTGTTTCCCCCACTATATATATATATATATATATATATATATATATATATATATATATATATATATATATATATATATGTATGTATGTGTGTGCGCGCGTGTGTGTGTGTGTGTATCAAAATCAGATATTAATAAAAACTTATCTGTAAAAAGACAATCTGAATAAAGACAAAAGGAAAACTTTTCTTTATCGACGCGTTTCGTCCTCTTGCGGACTTCTACGTCTGTTTATAAATAAGATACTTGGGTAATGACCACCTAGATAATGTTTTGGTCCTGTAATCGACAAATATTTCACCTGATGCGGAGAAGTTATCGAACAATAAACAGAAACTAAATTAAATAATTCTACCATTTCTACCTGTACTTCACTTGTATTAAGGAATTTGCATGTTTTCTTGATAGTGTTAATTGTTATCCTATTATTCCTGCACTAAAATAAGAAACCTTGTTTGAATAATATAACATTATCTTCGTTGTTTTTTTTTTTTTTCCTCAAACCTCCAGAGCAAGGCAGCCTTCTGGACGGAACAGTCTGAGATCGAGGCAATTTATTATAATACATTTTTGATATCATGGGCCTCGTCCGAGACACTGCGTAACTTTCTGGTCCGCTCTCCCCCAAAAGTTATAGACCCCTGGTCTATACATACCTATCTCTTGACATCAGTTTATTCATACATATCTTCTGATATCAGTCTATTCATGCTTATCTACATCAGTCTATTCAGTTCCATCATATATCGGTATGTTCATATCTATGACAGCCACATCGTAAACGTCCAACCACAACGTAAGCGTCCAGTTTATTACTTATGATGATAAAGTG